CGCCTTAAAGACATATTTTAAGAGAAATCATTTAGATATCTTTAATATGTCTATTAAAAATATATTAAAGATATCTTTTAAGAGATCTTTTAGATGTCTATAGATATCTTTTAGATATTCTATAAAGATATCTTCAACGAAACTTTTTTAGACATCTTTTAAATAACTTCTAGATATCTTTTAGAAATATCTTGAAGACATCTTGAATAAAATATCTTTTCGATGTCTACAAGATTTCGATGTTTACTGGGTAGTTGGTGTTTATTAAGTATTTTGTAATCCTTTATCTATTCTAAAACTATTCCTCTTGAATTCATAAAGTATACATATCTGTTGGTATAGAATAATACTATATGAATACCCCAAGAAATTTTCAAGTATTCCAATTATAATGCATGTAACTTCTTGAATCATTCTTATAATATTCTTCTATGAATTCCTAAAGAATTACAATTTAGGAAAGAAGAATACTTTGCGAATTTACTGTGCTATCTGGGTGTCTAGACGAAAATCAATTATCCTGCTTCATTATGCAGTCGATAAAATGTCATTTATATACCATTCTTACTTTTTTCTCTCCTGCCTTTGCATAAACTGGAACAAAAAACTTCCTGTTGTCCTTGTTTCTTACTATAAATGCTTCTCTTACCATTTTGTTCGTCAGAGTGCATCTTGAAAGCAAGGAGGAAACTTCAGTGGTGTTCGCAGTTTGAACAGTAAGTACCAACTCATATATGATTTATTTTTTTATGTAATTTTTTTATAAGTGATTTTAATTTAGATAATTATTATTTATTTTAATTATTTTTAAAATAGAGAAAATTAAATGTTTTTTAAAACTATGTGTATACTTGAATATTAATTTTGAGTTACGGGTGGACTTCCGAAAAGCTATCACCTCTGATTTCGCTGATATTCAGCCTAAATACTTATTTCATCAAGTAAATAATATTCCCAAATGGATTTTTGGCGCAAATGCCCCATCCGCTCCCAGCTCCCCTCAAAGGAAAAACTGTTTTTGTTAATTATTTCAGAAAGTGTTCATTATACGGAAAAAGTTGTCAAACAAAAAATAAAGTTCATAAAAAGCTCTATAAATAAAGTCCTACATATTTTATTATATTTTCCATACATATTTTACCTAACTCCAATATTTTAGTCGTTATTTTTATTCTTGCTTTATTTTTTGTTTGACAACCTTTTTCGTACAATGAATACTTTCTGAAATAATTAACAGAAACCGTTTTACCTTTGTGGTGGCCTAGGGGGACGAAGGGGGCATTTGCGCCAAAAATCCATTTGAAAATATTATTTACTAGATAAAATAAGTATTTAGGTTAAAAATCAGCCAAATAAGAGGTGATAGCTTTTCGGAAGTTTATCCTGAGTTATTAATTATGTTAATAATTAAAAATATAATTTTTTCTAGATTACAGTACTTAAAAAAACAGAAAATGTCTGCAAACATAGCTGTATTCAGAATTTGGAAAAAAAGTAATTCTATGATTACATATCTATGGAAATCGCATGTGACTTTTCAAATCAAAAGAACAATTTGCGTTTCTACAAAAAACAGATATCATTTTAGTAATGTCACTCAGGCGGAAAATAAAATAACAATAAATCAGAAAACAGACTGGACTAAAACAATGTCACAGGCAGAAAAGATTGTTGGATATCCGACGTCTTTTTTAAGTTTAAACTGGATGTTGAGCGATGAGATTGCAAATGTTGCTTTGCACTTAAGAAAGCTAGTTGGCTCAAATCATCCCTTACTAAAAGCAGCCAAGTAAGTCTTATGTGTGACAATGTTGTCTTATAAATAAAAATAAATAAAATTTTATTTACATTTTTTTAACAATAGGAATGTGTTTATTTATAATGGATATAACGCACAAACGTTATTTAGTCTTATTGTGTTGTTAATGTCTAAAGCTGTTGGCCATTTAAATGCAAAGCTAATAGAAGAAGATAAAGCTACAGGTGTATTACACAGGTATAATATATATAATAATTTAAAAGTATAAATCACATAAAAGGGCATAATATATATTGCCCTATTATATGATATAATAGAGAGATAGAGTTTTAAATATGTTTTCAGCCAAAGAGTATTGGCCGAAGTTATACAAATAATATGCGCTAGCAACTTGGTACACAAAAGTTTGGAAAATATAAATACAAATGAATCTTTAGAATCATTGAAGTTGAAAAATTTTGGCAATAAAATGGCATTGTCGTGTGGTGATTACTTGCTTGGCAATTGCTGTATTAAATTGGCGACTCTCAGAAATCAGGATGTAAGTAAAGACATTTTACTTATAAAAGTAAAGGGTAAAAAAACCTAGCTTTTTTTATTTTTCAAAATTCATAGAATATGTATTACTTTTCAGGTTGACTTCTTGATATACAGTGCAATAAGAGATTTATATCAAGCAGAATTTGTAGCGCGCAGAGACAGTCAAAATTTTCCCATACCGTCAATACCACCTAAACATTCTACAGGTTATGCACTGAAAGAATGGACGCTCTTAAAAGTTTATAGTGGTGGATCATTACTCGGTAAAAGTTGTCAAGGTACATTAAAGCTAGCAGGACATAATGAGGAAATACAGGAGAAAGGTAACAAATTTGGCAAGCATCTAGCTTTAGCTTGGCAGGTAGTATATTTAAAATTAATGCATTAAGTTTATACGTGTTTGTAATAATTTTGTAAAATTGATAATTTAAGAATCTAATGTAAGAACATTTTTACAGGCTTCCTTGGACTTAGATTTATGCCTTAGCAATAATAAAGAAATTATATATAATTTATGTGCTGCGCCAATTATGTTCCATGTTGAACATAATCCATTGATTTTGATCGAACTTGATAAAGGTTTAGAATCAGTTGAAAAAATTGATTATTTAAAGGTATAAAGCTATACACACACATTCACATATAATTTCTATAAATCTATAAATAATGTTTTATGTTATAGTTGCTTGACATCGTCACAGCTGGTCCAGGCATTGAATTAACCAAAGAGCTTGTGAAGGAACATTCGCAAAAAGCGATGGAAATCTTAAATTTTTTTAAAGAAAGTGATGCTAAAAAAGCATTGTCTAATATTATTGTTGCCATAGGAGATTTTTTTAAAAAAAAGCTCTTTTTTCTCAAATTTATTGCTCAATAAGCAATTTTTAATAAATTAATAAATTTATAATTTTGTTACGTCCTAACCTGGAGGG